TCTTAAATTTTTTAGTGCAGTTATCCATTTAGAGAAAGTATCATACTTTCGATCATTCTTAACACTGTATATATAAGCTTTTTTTTCCTTTGCGTTGTAAACGGCCGAATATCAAGCACGAAAAGATGATAAAATTCAACCGCCAAATGTAATTATCAAGTATTAAGAACTAACAAATTAATCGTGTATTGGTGTGTATGGATAAATAATTAGCCGAAAAGGATAAACATTTAAGAAGAGTAATGATCTTCATGATGTAATATTTATTGTATGATTGACAAAGAACCAATAGGATAAATAGAGTCGATCATTTGCGGCTTAGCGATCTTTAACAATAAGAATGATAAGAAAGAATAATTATAAGCCACAAAAGATAGATTATAAGCAAAACACATAAAGTAGATTAAAAGAACATATAAAATAATGTCGGAAAGATTAAAGAATACAAAATAATATAAAAGATAATATGAAAAGAAAGTATAAAGATGGAATATAAAAGATAACATATTAAAAAGAACATATATAAAGATAACACAGCCACAAAGGATGGTTTATAAATTATTTCTTTACGATGTAATATTCGAATAATAGAAAAGATAATATATAAAATAATATATAAGATAGCATATTAAAAGATAGCGTATTTAAAATATAGATAGTATATTAGAAAGATAGTTCAAAGATAATATTTAAAGAACATAAAAGATAGTATATAGATAGAATAGAAAGTAGCATAAAAATTGTATATATAGAGAACGGAATTCAAAGTAATTCCACAGTTCGCATCCACAGAACTCAATAAAATATAAGTTTTATTTTTTAATTATTAATGAAGTTTAATATTAATTAAAGGTAATAGGTTCGCCCTAAACTTTAATTAATGTTTGATTAATTAATTTTAATTAATGAAAATTTAAGATGAATTAAATATATACCTTTGGAAGATAATAATTCGTAGCGAGAGCTATCGCAGTTTGAAATCGAAAGTGGATATAAATTGAGGAAAATTCAGAGAAGTTAATTTTATTTTATACCGTTCAACGCTTTATATTACTAACGCTATTTATTTTGTGAACCAAGAATGTTGTTGNATCCAATGCCGGGAAAAAATAAACTGTTTTTCCTTTGAGATCAGGCCTGATATGCACAAGTTCTTGCAGTGTTTCTATCTTTTTTTGCTTTTTTACTGGTGGGGAATCACTGGTACCCTTAAAAGATCATTTTTCTTGATTCTGTTAGTCATAGAAATATAAAAATATTACAATTTATTTCAAAAAAAAATAGTAACAGCGTTAGTTTCTTTTTGCAATTCACCATTTCTCCAAGTTATCTCTAATATTTGTCTAATTAAAAGGTATCTAGTTCACTGATCCAGTTTTTTTAAAGAACTAAAAGACGAACTGCAATAAAATTTATACTGGAGATAGTCACGCGTTACATTGTTTTCGGGGTGGTTTTTTTTTGAATAATCATTAATTGGTATTCGTGGCTTTTACTTAAGTAAAGTAGCGTTTTACAAAGATTATCATATAATTTTATATGTTTTTCATATGAGGCTTCAGTTCTGTCCGATCACTGATCAGCCTGTGTAACCTTGAGTTGGCCCCCCCGTTTATTTACCTATCCCCTAGGAATTACCAAAAGGCAAGTTTTGTGGGCGCGGTTTGTGTCGATCTTTCCATATAAGGAACAAGTGACATTTAAGTGTCACTGATCACGTGCAGCCACGAGTTCAAAAACATTAAGTATCTGAGGGACTTAGTTTTTTTTTAGTGTCAAAAATTTATTTGTCACCCCCGTGACACAAAAAACCGCGCCCACAAAACCGGGGTGCAAGGCCAAACGGGTATGACGTCATTTCAGAGAGAAATTTTTTTTTTTTTTATATAGCCATCTTTTTTTTTCTTCGTGTAAATATTTTTGGATTGTTGGGTTATTTATTGGTTTTTTTTTTCAGGTTAGTCTAGCTTTGCTCTAAATGGTAAACTGTAGATTTGGTTGAGGGTGTCTTTTAGATTTAGTGAACGCCAGTTGGGACTGGCTTAGGTCGAGACCTTTTTGTCAAGCGGGATCTATCCATGACGTTTCTGTGGTTTTAAGGGATTAGCCTTTTTTTTCACTTTTTTTTTTGTATATATAGATTTAGATGGCGTCTGGTGTAAACTAGTTTAGTTTTTGCGTAGTATAGTAGCGTAGTTTAGAGAAAACAATATTAATTTTTAGTCAAACACAATTAGTTAAACTTTAAATTAGAATTCTTGATCCGAATACTTAGAGCTAAGAAAGATAAACTTTCTACACCCTATAACTAAGTGCTTTTAATGTAATTATACGATCCTATTTGGATCCAGATAATTCAATAAAGTGCGTTACTATTTTTTTTTTTTTTAAAAAAAAAAAAAAAAAAAAAAAATAAA